TACAATAAATCCTTCCCCCAATAATGAGACGACACTTCACTTTGATGGTTAAAACAGGAACTCTCTGTACTGTCACATACAGTCTCTTTTATTCCCAATCCACAAACATAGTACAGCCCACAGGGCGTTACAAAACAACAATCAATCCATTACAATACACCCAGACACTCCCACACAAAATCCTCCCCTCTGCAGGTATGATTACTGAACTGTGGGTAATCTCATTATCACCGGCAGAGGAATACAGTTTTTACACAATATTTATAACTTCTAAAATATACATGTCACAAACATAAAACATACATTTTCATAATCAATCCATTCAGGGAACAACATATTAAAAAATGGCACGAATCAGACCAGGGGTTCAAAAGTTAAGGGAAAGTCCTTTGTGACTAAATGAAGCATGGCTTTCTGGCCCAAAACCAGTTTCAGAGTCTTCTATCCTGGAGAGTAATTCAATTATCTCCCAGGACAGACACAAGACTCCATTAAGCACATGGTTGCAAAAAGACACAAAACACTTTAAAATACATAAAGTCACCTTTTACACATAACACACAGACATTTTCACATATCCCCAGATAGCTGGGATCTGAGCGCACATTATTAGATGAATGGCACTCAGATCACACAAATAAGCCTTTCTGCAGGGGAAATAAACGGTTTAACCTGCAGGGCCATAGTCCAAAGGGAGCAGGCGAGCAACCAGGCTTCTCCAGTTCACAGTAGCGAGGTTGGTTTCGCCACACTTCTCCCCTTTACCAACTAGACTAACAGGGTATCTGACCTCTTGCCGGTCAGTGCCCTGGTTAGTCCAGCAACCCACCCACAAAACAGAGACAGCAGTACAGCCCACCCACAATAACTGGTTACTACACCTGGGTAGAGGAGAACTTTGTCCATGTCCAGGTGCCTCACCACGACTGTGTGGGCAATTGTTAGGCTGCCTTGGTGGGTTGCTGAGTGGGCAGAGACCAGCGGTACTCTGCCCTGATGCCAGTGCTACCACGGAAGTAGCCTGGTGGGAGCCTGATTGTGGGAGGGAGAGACCGACTGTCTCCCCTCTGGATACACCGCTCTGTGGCTGGGGAACAGGACCGACTGTCCCTACCCCTTGTGCTGTAAGTGCAGAGACTACAGTCCCATCTGCACTGTTGGGGGTGTAACATCTCCCCTTGCTGGGTTAGGCTGCCGCTGGGGAGAGGGTGTAACAAGCTCCTCTCTCTGAACTGTAAACTGCCGCTGGGGAGAAGGGGTATCAGGCTCCTCTCCCTGACACTCTCTCTGCTGGTGGAGAGGGGGACCAGCTGTCTCCCCTTTCATTATTTTGTCCTGTGGTTGGGGTGTGAGACTGACGGTCTCTGCTCCCTGCAGGACACTCTGCCGCTGGGGAGGAAGGACGGCACCTTCCGCTCCCTGGGGTACACACTGCCGCTGGGGAGGAAGGACTGCACCTTCAGCTCCCTGGGGTACACACTGCCGCTGGGGAGGAAGGACTGCACCTTGAGCTCCCTGGGGTACACACTGCCGCTGGGGAGGAAGGACGGCACCTTCAGCTCCCTGGGATATACACTGCCGCTGGGGAGGAAGGACGGCACCTTCAGCTCCCTGGGGTACACACTGCTGCTGGGGAGGAAGGACGGCACCTTCAGCTCCCTGGGATACACACTGCCGCTGGGGAGGAAGGACTGCACCTTCAGCTCCCTGGGATTCACACTGCTGCTGGGAAGAGGGGATAACAAGCTCCTCTCCCTGACACACTCTCTGCTGTTGGAGAGGGGGACCAACTGTCACCCCTTTTAATATATTGCCCTGCTGCTGGGGAGCGAGACCGACTGTCTCCGCTTCCTGCAGGACACACTGCCGCTGGGGAGGAAGTACAGCACCTTCAGCTCCCTGGGATACACACTGCCGCTGGGGAGGAAGGACGGCACCTTCTGCTCCCTGGGGTACACACTGCCGCTGGGGAGGAAGGACGGCACCTTCAGCTCCCTGGGATACACACTGCCGCTGGGGAGGAAGGACGGCACCTTCTGCTCCCTGGGACACACACTGCCGCTGGGGAGGAAGGACGGCACCTTCTGCTCCCTGGGGTACACACTGCCGCTGGGGAGGAAGGACTGCACCTTCTGCTCCCTGGGGTACACACTGCCGCTGGGGAGGAAGGACGGCACCTTCTGCTCCCTGGGGTACACACTGCCGCTGGGGAGGAAGGACGGTACCTTCTGCTCCCTGGGGTACACACTGCCGCTGGGGAGGAAGGACGGTACCTTCAGCTCCCTGGGATACACACTGCCGCTGGGGAGGAAGGACGACACCTTCAGCTCCCTGGGGTACACACTGCCGCTGGGGAGGAAGGACGACACCTTCTGCTCCCTGGGGTACACACTGCCGCTGGGGAGGAAGGACGACACCTTCTGCTCCCTGGGTTACACACTGCCGCTGGGGAGGAAGGACGGTACCTTCAGCTCCCTGGGATACACACTGCCGCTGGGGAGGAAGGACGACACCTTCTGCTCCCTGGGGTACACACTGCCGCTGGGGAGGAAGGACGGCACCTTTAGCTCCCTGGGGTACACCTATGAGTCCCCGTAATGCACTCTGCCTCCGGATAGGGCGGCTGATACCTTTGGCTGGATCTGCCATGAACTCCAGGTACTCGTCTACCTGGCTCCTTACGAACTGCACGTATTTCTCCGGGGGGTTGGGTCCAAAGAAAGCCAGCCGCATAGCAAACTCTCTGTCATACTGCTCCTGAGTGTAGCTAGGTGCCATGCTTGCGCTGCTGAAGTTGGTTCTTTTGTCGATAGGGTCGCTGTACGGGTACTGGCGTTGCCCTCACTTTGTAATCCAAGGAATGGTGTTGCCCTGTAGCTGTCTTTCTGGTTGTAGGAACGATCCCACCGCTGCCACCAATTGTAACGGACCGTTTCTCTCAAACGGGGATAAATCCGTTTAGGCGATAATCCCCTTTCCCATAGACCAGCAGCTATTGCAATCACCAACCTCCCGAACTCCAAACTGTACGAATCCCCAACTCACGAACAAGAAATACACGAACTCTGGAAGCAGCCAAACAGGAAAAGCAATACGAACGGCTTACACTCCTGGCAGTCAGCACACAATCCAATTCCCCCAATAACGAGACGACACTTCGTTTTGAGGGTTAAGCAGAATCTCCCTGTACTGTCACATACAGTCTCTTTTATTCCCAAATCACAAACATAGTACAGCCCACAGGGCGTTACAAAACAACCAATCACATCACAGTTACATCCCACATATTCCCTCCCCTTATCCTGAGAGGAAACTCAATTATACATACAGTTAAAACATACTTTCTACCCAACTTTCATAACTCCAAAACCATACATCACATTCACATAAAATTACATATTCACAATCAATCCATTCAGGGGAACAACATATTCAAAATGGCACAAATCAGACAAGGGGTTCAAAAGTTAGTAAAAAGTCCTTTGTGACTAAATGAAGCATGGCTTTCTGGCCCAAACCAGTTTCAGAGTCTTCTATCCTGGAGAGTAATTCAATTATCTCCCAGGATAGACACAAGACTCCATTAAGCACATGGTTGCAAAAAGACACAAAACACTTTAAAATACATAAAGTCACATTTACACATAACACACAGACATTTCACATATCCCCAGATAGCTGGGATCTGAGTGCACATTATTAGATGAATGGCACTCAGATCACACAAATAAGCCTTTCTGCAGGGGAAATAAACGGTTTAACCTGCAGGGCCATAGTCCAAAGGGAGCAGGCGAGCAACCAGGCTTCTCCAGTTCACAGTGGCGAGGTTGGTTTCGCCACAGTAATTAGAAAGTTGACATGGTTACCCATTACTTATCAGTTCAAATCTGCAGCTGGGGCCTTATCCCATTCTAAATTACAGGTGTTCTTCAAACATCATCCTATGGCAGAGAAACAGACCACCAAAACCCCAGTCTTCCAGGACCTGTTAATGTATTAACTCAACTTATGTCCCATAGCATGTTTCTCACACAAGCAGAATTATCTATGAATGCTAGGAGGTCTTGCAATAGGGCATTAAGTATCTTCCATAGATTTGTTTCAGAATATCAAATCAACTAATCTTTCTCTGTAGAAACCATGGTGGCCTTTCCAGCTTTTTGCCACCTTAATCTTATATTGTCACATAATATGATTATTCCTCACTGGTATTTAACAGCATTTGCTAACCCTATTTCCCAATCACAAATCTTTTATGTCCTCATTCCCTATAAAAAGTATACTAAAAGACATTCAACGGTTAGACTCTCCTCAGTCACCTAAATGCCAACCTATTGATGGCCCAAAATTCTGGACCCTATCCAAGATACTTGACAAAGCTTGCTCCATTATCAAAACAGACATTTATATTGCATACTATGGCATTCTCCACACTAAATAATTTACTATTGAAAAATCATCCGACTGGGTGCCTTCGCCAAGGATCTCTTCCTGGCTGGAACCGGGGAAAACTTCAGCGCTTCTGCCCCAGTCGCCGTGGCTTGACTGGGGTCCTCCTCGAGCCTCTTCGTCCTGGAACAAGGACTTACAAGGACTTTCCTGGCTGAATCCTCCATGAGATGGAACAAGGTTATAAGCAGTGATTAGCCCTTTCCCCTCCCAGTAACTGGATGACACATAGTTCTGGGAGTACAACTGATTTTAATGAGCCAAACTCTGCCTTTTATGCACAGACCCCAGCATGGGGTCTCCATTGTATTCAACATATGCCCCTTCCAGGAATCTCTGGGCCTTTGAGATAATTGAGTGAAAGACCGGTAAGCCAATTTTCTCACAGAAATAGAGAGCCCAACACAAAACATAAACACATACAATAACGGGGGGTGTGGCTTGGTGCCTGAACTGAATGGACGCACGCCTGTAAAGCTCCTGCCGTTCAGTTGCCCTGGAGCACAAATAATCGGACTACAGAGCAGATTAACAACACCCACAAAACCCCTATGTCTCAGAGACAAAACAACAAGACAACTAAAGCGGAACGGGCATCCTTCTTTCTGGCAAAGACCGCTGGAACGAAACCGTGGAAAGGCCGCAGCCCTTACAAACATGGCGGGGAGGCCCGCTCCCACGAGGGATCACTCTCGCCCTCGACCTCCATGGGCTCCCTCCCAGAGGATGAACCTCTCACAACAGCTGCAATGCGACAAATGCTCACCGACCTGGCTGACACACTACAGTCCAACATGAAGACGTTGCAAATTCTAGCGGTGGATATCTCCGACATCGGCCAGCGCACGGCCCACGTGGAGCACAAGCTAGATGAATGTGCAGATGCACACAATCAACTGGCAACCAAAGTCCAGGAATTAGAAACCACTCTCAACTTATACAAAACCAAGCTAGCAGACCTAGAGGACTGATCGAGAAGGAATAATATTCGGCTCCGCTGCATACCGGAAACGGTACTAGCTACAGGCCTCAATGATTACCTTCAGGACATGTTCCAAACACTCACTCCCGCTATCCACCCGAAACAGCTGATCGTGGACAGGGCACACTGTCTCCAATGAACACAACAACTGCCACCCACGGCCGAGAGGGATGTCATAGCCCGCATTCATTTTTTCCACACCAAGGAGCAACTGATGAGGGCTAGCAGAAACGCTAATATGCCTGACCCGTATGGACACATCAAGATCTTTGCTGACCTGTCTGCAGAAACTCTACAGTTCAGGAAAAACCTAACCCCAATCACTACTACCCTGAGAGAACAAAAGTTCGTATACAGATGGGGATATCCCGCCAAGCTGCTGGTCCACCACGGAGGAACCCTGCACGCGATCTTTACCCTGGACATGGGACTCTCTAAACTCAAGGACTGGGGCTTTCAGGTACCAGAGCGGTCGCAACAGAAACCGGCGAAGGTCCCCAGAATCTCCCCTGAACACTGTGTGAGCCATCCACCTCCAGATGGAGGCATGTTCTCAGTGTCCTTTAATGCTAATCTGGGACTTGCTGTGGTTACAGGTTTTAATAGCACCTAAGTTAATATGGGTTTCACCCTCTGTTACAAACACCGCATATATTGTGTATTTTGTTTTGTTTAGCTGTGTCTTGGGGTTAACATACAGGGCATAACCCCTTACAAGCCCTGAGCAGACGAAGAAACTGCGACCCAGGCACAGTAAGGGTTACTGAAGTAATATTGCGTGGCTCTTAGAGTCGGTTGTACTACCCTAGGGATGCCACAACTACCCGTAGCACTGGGAGACACAAAGGGGGGTATTTTCCTCAACATCCCCCCAACAAGGTGTCATGTGACAGGGCCCTCTCTTGAGATACTAGCCTCCACTAAGGGTCCCGATGCTGTTATTCCTTGCCCCAAACCCCCCCAACTAACTCATAATTCGGTGGCAATTAACTTAAACAATGTGCACGAGGGGCACCTGTGGCTCCCTCCCCACACGGCCTCTAGAGGGAGAAAGCTCACCTCATAGAGGTACTGACTGTACCAACGGGGACATCCGGGTTTCCTGGGTCAAAACAGCCCACACAACCTTATGAGACCTCCGAGATATTTAAACACCATAGTGTTACAAAGCTCCAACCCACTGCTAAGGCCACATCTGAGTACCTGCCTATGGCAAGGCTCATCCTCCTGCCCCGATACCATGCGATCGAGAGTTCCTCAACGCACTATGGCTCCTAGAAGAGGAGCTAGTCAAGGTAGGTTGCCCATTCGTTTGTTGCACCCCCCCCCCCAGTTTCCCCAACTTGTCTTATTCCTCACCCGACAGATCCTGAAAATCCTAAGAAGTGTCATCCACTCAGACTGCCCCACATAGGCCACGCCACCAACCACATTCTAACATGCTCCACAAACAACCCTTGGCCATAATAGCCACCTGTAGAAGCAAACATTACAAGGAACAGATACCCCACACCGCACCACTATAAGACTGGTATCCTATAATGTCAAAGGATTGAACACCCAAGGTAAACACAGGTTGCTGCTTAAAGACCTAACCAAACAAAGGGTAGACATCACCTGTATTCAGGAAACGCACTTTAGGATGGACCGCACTCCAGCCATATTCATGAAAACTTACCCCGTCCAATTTCATTCTCTCACAAGTACCAAATTTAAAGGAGTATCCATCCTGATCCACAGAGATGTGGCCTTTACATTACAATGCCATAGTATAGACCTGAGAGGCATACTGGTAGGCCAGTTCAACAATGCCCAACGCACGTTAGTGGCAGCCTACTTTCCCAACGAAAATCCCTAGCAATTCCTCCAAATGTTATTCCACAAAATAGAGAAACACAAACGAGCTAATTTAATGTTTTGCTGAGACTTCAATTGTATTCAGTCACCTGCTCTTGACACGACCGCCACCCTTGCAGGCAATAGCAAATGAGATTGGACACTATGAGCAAGTCCTTTACTAGATTGATAGACCAACATGACCTCTATGATGCCTGGAGATCGCTGCACCTGGGAGATAGAGACTACTCCTTCTACTTGAGGGCTCATAACACATATACCCTTATAGATACATTCCTTCTAGATAGACAACTCCTAGCCCAGCTACAACCCTCACCACACTTAGTGGCACAACTTCTACTGCTACTTCTACTACTCCCTAAACACCACAAAAACCCAAGCTATGGGGATAGGCCTCCCGCATCCTTGATACAAACCCTTAGCAAGTCATATCCATTTCAGTGGAGGAAAGACCATATAAAATACCTGGGACTCCTTTTTACCAATAAACCCACTGACCTCATAACAGGGAACAACATTAGAGTCTAGAATGAATGTAAATTAATCTTAAAGACCTGGGGACCCCTCTTCCTTACTTGGACTGAGAGAATAGTCGCACTAAAGATTTCTGTACTCACAAGGTTACAATATATCTTTTGGACTCTACCATTAAAAATTCCCTAATCCTATTTCAAAATGATCCAAAGGGACATTAATAGGCTCATTTGGGCAGGAAGGAAACCTCGAGTGGCGCTGAAACTGCTGAAAGCACCGCTAAGAGAAGGTGGCCTGGTGGTTCCAGACATGCGCTCCTACTACCAGGCAGCAATACTAGCATCCGCACTACTGCATTTTCTAGACCAATACCCTCCACAATGGGTAACTCTAGAAAAACGACTGTTGGAGCCATACGAAATCCCACAGGGCTAAACTGAGCACTAACTCTCAAATCTCTAAGGCCACAGCCTAACATACTGCATTCCCACGTTCCACGCTAGACCATGGCACAAGAAAGGCCTTCAACACCTAACCCACTTTTACACAGGAGCAACGCTCATAGACTTCGCCACACGTTATCCCACATACCTCACACTTCTCTTATAGACAACTCCAATCCTTTCTGTACAAATATGGGTCCCAGGACCCCACACAGCACCATACCAGCCCTTACCCTATGGGAACAGATATGTATTAACAAAAAACTGCCTAGGTCTTGCAGGCTGCTCTCCATGTGTTATAGGTTACTGTCACAGCACAGCCCAAACCCTGCAGACTGCAAGGCATGACCACCCCTTTAAAAGACCTGGCTGGGTTTGAACTCACAGCTCTAGCATCCCGGTCAGGTACTCTGCCATAATCTCCACCAGGGGGCTTCAGTTTCTGTTTGCATTATTTTGCTTCCTGACCCCTTGTCTGGATTTGGCAGTGCTGATCCACCTGTAGCCCTTTTCCAATTAGGGTCAGCTGCATCTAATTAGCAGGCAACCTAGGATCTGGTCACTTTGCCTGTTTGGTTTTTCCTGCTGGATCTTTGCTATGTTACTGACTGATTTCCTGGACTCTGACCTCTGCCTGCTTTACCGACTTCATTACTCCGCTGCCAGCCCTGACTTCTGCTTCTCGACTGACCCTGCCTTTGGGTTTATCCTTAATCTGTACTGCGCTTCTGGTTTTTGCCTCCTCCCTGTGCCATCTCCTGCAACTGGGCTCCAACTCCTGGTGAACTGTAACAGTTACTCCTAGATTACACACCACTACCCGATGCCACACCTGTGAAACGAAGTTGAAGAGGAGATTTCTCAGCATCAGTGGAAAGACATAGTTGTCTCCCCCCAAAAATTGGTCAAATTGGCCACACTTCTAGAAAAACATATGAAAATGATATACAGATGGTACTTACTACCGGTGAGATTGCTCAAACTCTTCCCATCCAGCTCCCACATGTGGTGGCAATGCCCGCTGATCTAACCCTTCTAGGAGGCCATACGCACGGTGCTACTTGGAATCACACACACCGATCTACAATACGACCCACGCACATACTTACTCCTTTCAGTCCCTCCAGGGACACCCCCACATACCCGAAAAATTGCCTATCACCTTCTCCTCCTCTTAAAGTTCTGACCGGCCGCACATGTGGTCCTATGCCCAAAATAGTTCCAGGGCGTTTGGTGCTTTTGATGGTCAACTTTCAGGAGCTCCTGCATCAAAATACCTTGCTGTCAGGTAGTGTTCCCCTTAGTCTCAGGCACCTTCCCTCCAAAAAGCGCTCTCTTGGTGGGTGGCAAAGTGGTTCAAAACCCCAGACCAAGTTGTCCGGGAACTGCACGGTCACCTCATGCCGAAAACAGGTCCATAACATTTGTAGCTAGGAACCACTGAGGTGATTGTAAACCCACAAAGTCCTTGTGCCGAAATTGTTCCAGTGCAGTCACGACTAAGTAACGCTGAGGACCATACATGTGTTTGGTTCATGCAAACGGTCGTCAGGGAGCTAGCATTCGTTTCCATTCAAATGAAGTGAAAGTGCCGAACCAGGGGCACCCAGGGAAAGCTGCTGATGTTGGCTGGCCAGGGTAACTCACAAATGGTGTCTCAGACCTGGACCATAGTCATGGGCAGGAGTCAAACTTCTACACTCCTCCAGGAGTTTGTGGCAAACGTTCATGGGAAGGAGCGTTTGTCACAATCCAATTCAGATTGATGTAAAAAATTCAAGATCTTAGAAAAAAAAGTATTTTAAAAAAAGTCTTAGACATTTCAAAATTAATTAAATTTACCCATCCACAAAAATTCTGCTATAACCTACCTAATTTTATTACATGACAGGAGGCTTCCTACTTTGCATTAACTCTCTTTACTAAACTCCACAGCAGTAAAGAAAAACGTAAAGAGTAACATTAAATCACTGAGCAGCATAGTATATATAAGGGTCATGCTGCCTGTACACTTCCTCTTTCTTTACTGCTCCACGCAGACAGGTCAGACTATTTGGCTCCTCCAGAGCCTTTTTTGCTTATTCTGTATTAGTCTGTTTTATTATTTATTTAATGCCTTTGCCTTTTATTGTTTACTGTCTTGTCTGTATTTTTGTGATTTATATTGCCTGGCTAGGGCTGTGAGTAGAATCAGGCTTTAGCCCTTTAGTTTCTCCCTGCCCCTGCCGGCCCTGGGACTCCCTGGGCTCCCCCCTGGGCTCCCCTCAGGCTCCCCTCTGGTTTTTCCTACCTGGGGTGCCCTCCTGGCCCCCTACTCGCGACCGGAATTGATCGCGATCTTTTTCGCGCCGGCTGGCGCCCGCCTGCGGCCGGCCTTAAATTTAGTCCCCGGCTTGCGGCCTACACTCGCGGCCGCCATTTTGGATCGCGAATACCGCGAGATTCACGCGGCCATCTTGTTTTTTCGCCTGGATCTCTCTGGGGACTCAGTACTGGCTGTCTTAGCTCCCTTCCACCTGCTTTTGTGCTGGTCTGAAGCCCTAGTGTGAACTTCTGCAGCCTATACTGCCTATACTCTGTGACTGTGAGTTTCATTTCTCTGAGTGACAGGATTACTTCCACTGCAGGCCTATACTCTGTGACTGTGAGTTTCATCACTGTGAGTGACAGGATTACTTACTCTGCAGGCCTATACTCTGTGGCTGTGAATTTCATCACTGCAAGTGACAGGATTACCTACACTGCATGCCTATAATCTGTGGCTGTGAACT